GCCAGTTCTGGGAAAATAGAGGGCGTTTTTTCATGGATCTTCAGGGTACTTCGAATTTAATTCATTCTTCCATATGACCTGTTAATAAATATCTCCCCTTACTTTCTAAGTTTACATGCAAAAATAAAAAGAAAACATTAGCATCCATCAAGCATTTGGCTCGCTAAATACAGGCTTGCAGGTCTACGTGCACTATCTTTTTTGTTCCTAACATTATTCTATACCGGGGCACAGGCCTATTTAAATATGCCAAAAATACACACTTCAGCCAGTTTTTACTTGCGACAATGTAATGACATAGAACATTTAATGTTGCTCGGTATGTGTCTCTTGCCCTTTTACAATGGCAGTCCTCAATGATTGGCCTTGGGAGACCTGACTCACGCGGAATCGGACAAACCGGACCTCCGAACAGGGCCGGAACTTTTGCGCCGATGTCATGAAATTAAGCAAGCACCTTACACCGGAAAGTATAAAGGCAGTTTTAACGGTCTCATTCCCGAACACTCAGCTTCTTGACTTGGAGAAGGGTCCTCCTGGAATTTAGTGGTAGATCAAGTAGAAACCCTCAATTTGATCATAAGAAACCTTGTTTCGAATTGACTTCTAAATCCACTGTCATCACTCGTCCCCCATAGCGACCAGTTTCGCGATTCTTTATGTCATTTCCCGCATTTTGACCTCGTGCGGTCTGTCGACGCTCACGGCGGAGCCCTAAGTATTCGCCGTCTACTGGTAGTTTTGTCGTACCTCCCATCCCCACTCCTCGGCTGGGCTCGAAGCGTACTGTGTCCGATCGCATCTGGGTTCCTCTCGTAAGGCCTCTTGGACGAGAATAGTCTCATCCGTCGTATCAATCTTGGCCTGACGATATCCGTTCTGAATCCCGTATACAATACCACAGGCAGGCCAGTCCTGTCTGACCCGAATACGTACCCGTAAAGGCTGACACTTGTTTCTGCCCAGACGATGTCCTATCATAACCCGTTATATACCGCCACATGCAGGCCAGTCCTGCTTGCACTTTTCTGTTATTATTTTTCTCCTGTAAAATTCGTCCAATCATTTTTAAATTTTTAATTTTTTTTACCGCTCGCTCATCACTTTTCTTAACGGACTACAAATTCAGAAACTATGCATTGTACTATGTACAGATTCTGCCTACCTCGTCTAAAATTCTTATGTACATTTATTTTTACTTGCTTTGATGGGACCCCGACGGATCTTTAATAAAAAGTACCATTATTATTATTATTATTATTATTATTATTATTATTATTATTATTATTATTATTATTATTGTATGCGACTGACAATAGACGCATGTCTGTCAAATTCGCGCCCTGTTCTTCTGTCTGATATTTGTCTGCTGTCAGTAAACTTGAGCGATCGGCAGTTTCCGTTTAGACGTTCGTTCGCTCTGACTTTCGCTCAAATTTGTAACAACGCGTGTTTTGATTTCACTGCCGATTGATGTCGACGATCCATAAGTGACTTTTGTGTGCCGCATCTCTTTTAATCAACCGCGCCAAATGTCTGGGAATTACTTATTAATGGCACCTTTCGGGGCATAGATTCATCAAGGTAGCGAGCGTCATTAACAGGAACCAGTTCTGAACATTTGGGGCTTGCCTCTGAGTACCCTCACCTCTTTTTATAACAACATCTTATTGGAAAGTCCTTTACCTTTCAGTATTCTGTAAATCAGTCCATTTGTGACATTCTTCCATTCATTTTCCCCGTTTCTATTCGTGGGTTTAGCGTATCATCCCCCACTTAGAACTGTGTTGCTCTTGTATATTGACTATACCCTTGCTCCAAGCAAAATTCTGTCTACTGTCGCAGATGACGATACGAACAACGACTCCCTTGATATAAATGCTCCCTTTGTCAAATTGTCTTTGTTCCCGCCGAGTAATCTGCGTGTGTGCTTTGGGCAAATTAAAGAATTTGCCGCAGCACGCCGTATTACAAGTGAGAGCGCAACTTACTCTCATGGAACGCAAACTCCAAACTATGAAAACCACCATCACTTTTATTTTTATTCTTTTTTGACAGGAGTCTTTTTCACTGCTGGCCGGATATGTACTTAACGCTTCCCTGACAATGCCTGTAAACTAGCATTAAACACAAGTATTATTATTAAACACTATTTCCTTAATCCAGGGCCTCTCTGAGTCCCCCGCCTGCACCCCAGAGGAACGAATCGCTGAAAATGAGAGCAACTTTATAAGCTTCTCAGCTTAATGCTGCAACCATCGGAAGGCATCACTATCCTAAAGGTTGTTAGTTTTAGAAACCGTTCCAATGTCACTCTGTAGACACGAATACGGTCCCTATTGATTGTCTTGGGCTGCAGTCAGCTGAAGAAACTCGTCCTTTCCAATCGTTTTCGACTGAAGCATCCCCAATAGGGAGTGTTTTTCAGCCGGACCACTTAGCCGCCGAGAAAATGAAACACCGCGAATTGGTCCTACAACCGAAAACATGGCGAACCAACGGAGGACAGAACCTGATAAACTACAAAAACCACGTAGCAAAACGACATTATGCTCCCCTCTTGACAAAGCCGGCCAAAATGACCGCACAGACTGTGTCTTGGCTGTAAACGGATCTCGCCTGAACTCCAAACTTACATTTTATGTATACCAACGCGCAAATTGTACTCTCAAAAGGGATTGAACTCCGAATCCATGCCTGTTTCCTCTTCCTAGACGCTATCTCAACAATAGAAACGTGGCTGTTGGGACAGGCTGACGGCAAGAAGGGTGTAATTTCTGGATTTCAACTGATCCGCAGGGGCGGAGAAAACGGCGGTTGGAAGTACAGCAACATAAGTTAAGAGTGACTTTTGTGTTTAATAAAAATTGCTAAGCTGACTTTTAGTATGATAGCAGTAAAGTTCGCCCCAAAAGCACCGGGTTCTCAAATTCGTCACCAGAGAAATGACTCTCAAACTGACGCCCAACTGCCAGATGAGCTAACATTATTTTCTACACGGCCGAATACTTTCGTCGTTGGAGACCTCAAGAAATCTCATATCGACACAAGCTCATCCTCCGTCGACTGCCCTAAACAGCATTCGCCCAGCAGCTTCTGCTTATCACTTTCAATTTGCCTTTTTTACAACACTCAGAGTTTCCGACGAGAGTTCTTGAGGGCCAACAGATGAATTGCCTCAGCTTTGGGCTCACTAAGTCGTTGGACACCATCGACAATGCGAATTGCTTCCACCCATATGGTCAGAGCGAGCATATAGTTATCATGTGGGAATACATATCTCTCTCTCCCTGCTCAGCCGCTTAATTCCCGACCCAGCATTTGGCACGACACTTTCGAACAGATGAACAATGACCTTTGTACTATTACTATCAATACACACTCTCTGAAGAAATCAGTGAGGTTTCTTGTCAATCAAAAGAGCTAGTCCGCGATCTCATCTCCAAACACTTCCCGATCGTGAGGAGAAGACTAATGAATAGACCCCATCAGTTGACTCCATACTTGAAGAAGAAAGTTAGCAAGAGGAGGAAGCTATGAAAAAATCTTTTTCTGATCGGGCCCCAGAATCCCTCAGCAGACGCAAGTTGCATAGAAGTCGGGCCAAAGTTGTTATCGGCAAGTCTTCTAAAAGATTGAGTTGAACCGTATCATCGTTTATACCAAAATCCCTTATATTTGTATAAGGCAGAGTTAGCGGAACTAGGATCCAATACACCTACTGCAAACGGCCAATGATACGGAAATCGCATCGGACTAGGATGAGGCTGGAAATATCTCCCCGTTCATCCGGTCCGATGTAACGACAGAACCCGAATATTTCCCGCACACATTTGACGACGAGGAAACGTCTATTATTGAGGCAGTTCTATTTACTTAATAATTGTATTTAACGCCAGTCTACGGGCACTGCCAAAAGAAAATAAAGGACGCATCGGGCTAACAGTGAAAAAAATCCTTATGATTTAATTTAATTTAATTTATAAAATGCCAGATTACAGGCATTGTAAAGGGAAGCGATTTAACACAAATACAACCAGCAGTGAAGAAAAAAAATCCCGAGGAATAAAAAGATAGATGATGGTAGTTTTTATGGTTTGGAGGGTTCAGAAGAAAAAAACCCCTGGTGGTAGATTTTAGACCGTCAAGAAGGGGGGGAGGGGGTTGCAAGGTATCGGAGATTATCGGACGTCAATTCCTTTCATGAAGTTGGGGATAGTCAAAGTAGAGGCGTTGAGGAACAGCTGTCGCTGCTGGCCAAAGAAATTGTCCCTGGTGAGACCGGCCATAGTGTTCAGAGACCACAAACGCCATCGCTACGGTACAGTCGATCAGTGGATTCAGCACCTCAAATTCGTGGGAGCTTTTCTGAATGCAAAAATCGAGTAATAGTTCTCTTAAATAGAGGACAATTTTGCAGATTTTTTACATTCCTGGGTAGTTTATTCCAAATAGCAGTTGCATTTACAGAAAAGGACCGACGATATTTAACAGTACGTGCCAGAGGAAGAAATAAAAAGACCTCACGGTGACTGTTACGTCGTGGGTGGAAATGATGCCCTAAAGAGGTGAGTGGGTTAAATGTGTGATTATATAAGATCAGATCAGATCAGATTTATTAAGGGAAAAGTAGGCGAACGCCTTTGAACTCCCTTTTGGTTACAATAACGTCATAAAAAAAACAATGTGTAAGGCAAGTGTGAAAAAAATTAGGTAAGTAATTACATACAACAAGCATTGGTCACTGGTATGAATTTGTCTGTGAATGCCTTCTGTGTCAAGATTGTACAATATCCAGTACGGCAATGAATGGACCAAGTAATATCAAAGCAAGCGCATATGTGGCGGTCAGGAGATAGCGAAAATTGTAAAACGTAATGTTACTAAAATATAGGGAGTAGCATGCTTTGTTACATAAAACGTTGGATGGGACGGGTGGCACAGGGGGGGTTCGTTAGTTTCTGATGCTGTGGAGGTACATATCCCTGTACTGGTCAAGCTTTCTCTTAAATGAGTCCACGGATGAGGACATGACGACATCCACAGGTAGGGCGTTCCATGCCTTTACCACTCTGTGGCTGAAGAAGGACCTTCTTGCATCCAGTCTCGCTCCTGTCACACGTAGTTTCAGAGGGCGTCCTCTCAAGCTAGTAGTGGTGGCCAGCTCAAAGAAGTCGCCGGATGCGAGGCAGCAGTCCTGACCCCGTAACATTCTAAACGTTTGAATTAAGTCGCCACGGAGTTGTCTGTAGTCCAGGGGAAAGAGGTTAAGATTTGAAAGTCTGGCTTCGTAAGGTAGGTTTTTATGACCTCTGACAAGCTTGGTTGCCCGTCGTTGGACTTTTTCGAGGGTGGTACGATCCTTAACAGTCCAGGGTCTCCAGGCCTGAATGGCAAATTCTAACTGTGGGCGCACAAACATCCCGAAGACCTTGCGGAAGCACTCTTCATCGAACTTGGCAAATGCCCGCTTAATGAGATATAAGCTGGACATTGCGGATTTCGCTGCTTTCAAGCAGTGGAATGATGGCTTTAGTGAAGATGTTATCCACACCCCTAGGTCTTTCTGAACCTCTACCAGTGGCAGCGGTGTGTGATTTAGATAGTACGTCTGCCGATGCGCAGAGCTGGTTCTGCCAATCCTCAGAATGTTGCATTTGGTAACATTAAATGGGAGGAGCCAGTGGCCCGACCATTTTTCGAGGCGGTCTAAGTTTGCCTGTAAATTTGCTTCATCGTCCTCGTTGCGGATGACGGTCCAAAGCTTTATATCGTCAGCAAACATGGCAATCTTGCAGTCCAATCCATGGATACAGTCATCAATATAGATGAGGAAGAGGATAGGGCCAAGAACGGAGCCCTGAGGTACTCCGCTCGTAACCGTCACCTCTGCCGAGTGCTGGCCACCAAGACGAACAGTCTGGGACCGACCGACCAAAAAGTTTTCAATCCACTTCAAAAGCTTGCCTCTTACCCCTATGCGGCTGAGCTTGTGTAGGAGACGTTGGTGTGGCACGCTGTCAAATGCCTTCTTGAAGTCTATGTAGGCCACATGCACAACGTTTCCTTCATCAATCGCTCGGGTCCTCTGTTCAAGACAGTAGAGTAGATTGGTTAAGCAGGACCTCCCTCTGCGGAAACCGTGCTGTGCATCGCACAGAAGATGATTTTGCTCTAAAAACCGCATCAGTTCGCGTTTGATTATTCGCTCCATAACTTTGCAGCATATGGAGGTGAGGCTTACTGGTCGGTAGTTGTTTGCGGAAGCGCGACTGCCATTTTTATGAATCGGTGAAATCCACGCAGTCTTCCACTCAGGAGGCAGTCTGCCTGCATCAAGAGAGGCTTGGAAGAGGACGCTCAGAGGTTCTGCCAATTCTGTGGCTAATTCCTTCAACAACTTTGCGGGTATTTCGTCAGGACCGGGCGAAGTCCCTTCTTTTAGCTTCAGTAATTCTTGTTGAACAATAGGTTTTGTGAGAACCACTGAGTCAATTGTCGGGACATTGTCCACATTACAGTGATCAGTGGGTACAGCGACTTCTCTCGTAAAGACCGACTGAAAGAACCTGGACAGATGTTCAGCCTTTTCGTCGTCCTTGTAAAGTTCAACGCCATCATCAGTTTTTAGCATAGGGATGGGATCCCTGTTGCGAGTACTTTGTCTTATGTAGTTGAAGAAAAGCTTTGGGTTTTCTCCTGCACAGTTTAAAAGGTTACCCTCGAAGTCTTGGCGGGCTTTGTAAACAAGGCACTTTACCCTATTCCGCTGAGCCTTATACCTATTTCTTGATTCAGTTGTCTTGTCCCTAAGATATGCTTTCCACAGCTTTTGCTTACGGTTTACTTCAACTTTTAGTGAACCCTTAAGCCATCGGGGCCTGCTGGTGATTTTCTTATTCGACATAGGGCAGTATCTGGTGATAAGTTCATTCAGTATGGTCTTAAGTTCTAGCCAGTCCTTGAGGACACACCCCGTAAATGCTGCTTTCCAGTCTCTACGACGCATGTCGAGACGCATTTGGTTGAAGTCACCACGCCATATGTTGCGTCTAACCACGATGCTTTGATCGGGTACAGAGAAGAGAGAATACTCCCACTGTAGGACTACATTGTCGCTTTTTCCGAGAGGGGGTAGACAGTTTACAACATCAACGCTTTCCGGTGCCTTTGTCAATACAAGGTCTAGGCAGTTAGCTAGTTGTCCTTCACGTAGTCTGGTTGGGGATAAGACGTGTTGTGTGAGCTGCGATCTTTGCACAGAATTTAGGAGGCGGCGATCAAAGTTAAATTCTGAGCCCGGGGCAGAAGTCAGATTCCAGTCGATATTCGGAGCGTTAAAGTCGCCCATAATCATGACATTGGGTCGGAGGGAAATCGCTTCTAATTCCTCTAGTAGACTACTGTCTGATTGCGGGTCATTCCTCGGTGGGCGGTAGACCGTCAGGATCTCGAGAGGTTGTGACCCCGGCGTCTTGACGGTGAGCCAAATCGTTTCAGCTGTGCGCGCGAGCTGTCCCTCTTTTTCTGACGCAAAAAGGCCATATTTGACATACACGAGCACACCTCCACCTTGACGTCCCAACCTGTCCTTTCTGAACAAGTGATAACCAGATAAAGCGACTTCGCGATCGTCTACGCTCGCGGACAGCCACGTTTCAGTTATGGATATAATATCGGGTAAGGTTTGGTCAACGTAGATTTTAAGCTCATCTAATTTAGATAGCAGACATTGCGCATTGGAATACAAGCATTTTAGCTTTTTTTCCTTTGGTAAGCCGGCTATGACGCCGCCTTTGCCAATTGTCTCGGCTGTGGCGACATACGCACGGGCCGTGTCCATATGAAGCGAGACGGTCGCTCGATTATCAGTTGTTGTAGATAACCAGGCCTTGTTCGCCATTCGTTTGTCGCAGCCTTAGCTCCTGGACTAACTGTCGGCGTTTTATCCGCTCCGGTGGTGTGTAATCCGGCTGAAAAAAACTCCTTGGTGGGAATATTTCAACCTAAAACGTCTTGAGAGGATGAGATCAACATGCTCTTTGCAACTCAGAACAATTTTAAGGGGCCTAGGATGCGGGATAGTAGCGGGTTCAGTAGAGCGCTTTCCGAGTCTGAAGGCTTTCAACACGGAAATTTCTTCGTCAGGTTGAAGCAGTGTGTTTAGAAGACCTTGGAACAAGCCGAGATCAGCTAATACGCGTTCTTTAGGTGTATCTGCTTGAGGCTCCTGAAGTCCCTGTATTACTAGGCACTGTTCTCTGAGCGGCCGGTCTTGGTTGCGTGATGTTGGTGACTTGGGAGTTCCTGGCGAACCATTCATGATGACATTCTGGTTGCCATCCACTCCAGGGATCTTTTCTGCAGCTAATGGTTTCGTGTTTGGGGCAATACTGCTCATGTCTTTTATGTCAATACAGAGGATATTCGCATTTGCCGCGTCTGTGTCTACGCTGGCACTGGAGGTTTCTGTCGATTGCTCAGACGAGCTCTGCTTTTCCACCCCAGGAAGTTCCTTTCTTCGGGTACTCCGAAGTCGTCCGAGTTCTGTCGCTTTCTTTTCAGTCATCAGTCCCCCTTGATTTAACTGCTTCTTTTGATGTGACCTCAGTTGCATGTGAACGGTCTGAGTCTTAATGTTAATTCCTTGGTTCTCCTCGGTCACTTTGCGGGGGGCAGTGAGCGTCTGCTTTCTGCTCTTCTGCGGCGGATTAACATCATGCCTTGTCATATTCTCCGCGATTTCCTCTGAGGTTTCCGTCCATGCAGTAGTCTTTTCTAGGTCGAATCCTTTTACCTTCTTCTGTGGTGGAGATCGGACAGCTTCTACATTGCCAGAGTTTAAATAACAAAAATAGTTCCCTTTGTAATCTACGGAACTATAAAGGATCAATGCCCGTAAGCCGGCAACGCTCTTGGTAAGACAAATGTCGGTGTACCGGGGTTAAAATTCTCTTGGTAAAAAAGTGTTGAACTGATTCTATTTTCTTTCGCTCAGAAGAACGCATGAGGCTAAATAAAAACGAACAGTATTCCAGACCAGGTCTAACATACATGTTGTAAAGGCGCATTCTAATGTCTCTAGTTTTACAGTTTCGGAGGATAATCCCGGTCGTTCTGCGTGCTTTGGAGACTATCAAGCCACAGTGCTCCGAGAGATTGAGACTCTTGGATTTTGATATGCCCAGATCTTTAATAACCCCAGGCACATTTATGGCGTGACCATCAATATTAAGTTTGGGTTGGCGGTCGTCGCCAACCACCATGACTTAGCACTTATGCCAAGAAAGAGAAAGGCGCCATGTGCGGCACCACTGGGCGAAAGCCTGCAGATCGCTCTTTAGGAGCTCAAGCACGATGACACGATCTGCCGGCTTATATGGTTATGCAACTTTAAGATCATCGGCATAAATGAAAGGCTTACCATTCTGAAATAAATCGGGTACATCATTAACGAAAAGGCAAAATAAAAGCGGGCCGACTGCACTACCCTGGGGTTGGAGATGGTAGTGGAAATCTTAACTCGTTGTGTGCGAGTGCCCAAATAAGAGGATATAAAATTCAAAAGTTTACCACCTAATTCGAAAGAGAACAGTTTCATGAGAAGAAGAGCATGATCAACACGATCAAAAGCCTTAGTGAAATCGAAATATACTGTGTAACGTGCAAAGCCATTGTCCCTAGATTGGAGAACATAGTCAAAGAAAGAGAGTTGACAGGTGTCACAAGGTCGATCTTTGAGAAATACATGCTGAGCAGCACTCAGTAGGTTATTTACTGTTAAGTGACGCATCATCTTCTCTTTGATCAATGTTTCTAAGATCTTCGAAACTGCGGGGAGGGTGTTTATGGGCCGAAAGTCATCAAATGATGTAGATTTTCCGTGCTTACGAATGGGCAAAATGTGTGATTCCTTCCACAAAGTAGAATAGGTTTCACTTTCAAGAGCAAGATTAAATATCTTGCATAAGAGGGATGGGAAAATCGTATTTG